TCCTTCCTTCCTTCCTTCCTTCCTTCCTTCCTTCCTTCCTTCCACTAAACGAATGATTGTAAGTTGAGACCTATCTGTAATATCTAAATTACAGATTTCAATCCATCCATCCCTCCATCCACCCATCCATCCATCAAAATAGAGCAGGAAGGGACCTTGGAGGTCTTCTAGTCCAACCCCCTGCTCCATCGGGAGATCCTATACCAGTGGTGGCGAACCTATGGCACGGGTGCCAGAGGTGGCACTCAGAGCCCTCTCTGTGGGCACGTGCACCGTCGCCCCAGTCCTAGGCCTTCAGCTGGGTTTTATAAAACCTTTTCGCTTTAGACCTCCACCGCCATGCGCAAAAAAAAAAAGTTTCAATCAATCAATTTCAACTTCTCACAAAAAAAAAAAGATCTTGCAAAGTTGGAATTGATTGATTAAACTTTTTAGTCCTACCCAGTCTGCCGTTACCACCGCAGCCACGCCCACCCAATGGGCCACGCCCACCCAATGGGCCACACCCACCCGGCACTCAACGATGCATAAGTGGGTTTTGGGTTGCAGTTTGGGCACTCAGTCTCTAAAAGGTTCGCCATCACTGTCCTATACCATTGCAGACAAGTGGCTGTCTAGCCTCTTCTTAAAAACCTCCAGTGATGAAGCACCCACAATGTCTGGAGGCAAGTAGTTCCGCTGGTTCATTTAACAATCCACCAAATCATCCTGAATACACCCCAAGTTCTCAGGATTCGTGAGGGGTGTGCCCTTGGGGCAAATAACAGAGGTTATTTCCTGTTCCCATGCCTCAAAGAGCAATGGGAAGCTATGCAGGTCCAACTTCCTACGGCGTTTCTACTCCAAGAACAGGCTGTTGTACAGATTACGGAGTGCCAGGCGCACAACTTGCCTGTTTTATTGTCGAGCACATCAGCAGAGGTGGCCGTTGCCGCCAAACACATATTTCAGGGGCAGCCCGGTTGCACACAGCCATCCCATCCCTGCAGCTGTCCCTTAACTGCCTGATTAGCTGGACAATTAATCAACTAATTGAAGCCCAGGCTGTGCCCGTGACAAAAGCAGAGGAGGCGACGGAGAAAGACATTAACGATTTACAAGAAGGGGAGGGCCGCCCGCGTTCCAAGGATGCCGAGAAATTGGCAGTGGCTACACTTGTAAACGCAGCGGGGTATGGAGGAGAGGGTAGGAACTGGAAGCAGTCAAGCAGATGGAGTCACCTCCGTTGCCAGGTGCCCCTTCTAAAAGTCTGCCCTACTTTGCAAAAAAAAAAAAAAAGTCGGTCTATCTTATCAAATTTGGAAGAGGGGGGTGGGGTCAACCTATTTTCCAAAGCACCAGAAGGCAAGACAAGAAACAACGGATGGAAACTCAACAAGGAGGAGAAGCAACCTCAAACTAAAGAAAAATTTCCTAACAGTGAGGACAATTAAACAGTGGAACAGCTTGCTTCCAGAAGTTGTGGGTCCTCCATCACTGGAAGTTTTTAAGAAGAGACTGGACAGCCATTTGTCTGAAATGTTATAGGGCAGTGATGGCGAACCTTTTAGAGACCGAGTGCCCAAACTGCAACCCAAAACCCACTTATGCATCGTCGGATGCTGGGTGGGTGTGGCCCATTGGGTGGGCGTGGCTGCGGTGGTAACAGCAGAGTGGGTGGGACTAAAAAGTTCAATCAATCAATTCCAACTTTGCAAGATCTTTTTTTTCCCTCCAGAACTTGAAATTGATTGATTGATTGAACCTTTTTTTTTTTTTTTTTTTTTTTGCACATGGCAGCAGAGGCCTAAAGCAAAAAGGTTTTATAAAACCCAGCTGAAGGCCTAGGACTGGAGCGATGGTGCGCGTGCCCACGGAGAGGGCTCTGTGTGCCACCTGTGGCACGTGTGCCATAGGTTTGCCACCACGGTTATAGGGTCTCCTGCTTGAGCAGGAGGATGGACTAGAACAGGGATCCCCAACTCCTGGTCCGTGGACCGGCACCAGGCCGTGGCATGCCAGAAACCGGTCCACATAAACAAGCAAAGCCAACAAAATAATACCAACAAAAGGCAGAATATAGAAGATAATACAGATGAATAATACTACATCCACACTACACGGGGTTAATAGACATTAGCACCACTGAGAGAATTAAGCGCTCAGAATTATTATTTGGAGTAACAGTTGGAAGAGACCTTAGAGGTCTTCTAGTCCAGGGATCCCCAAGCCCCAGTCCGTGGACCAGTACTGGGGCGTGGCATGCCAGCAACCGGTCTGCACAAACAAGCAAAGCCCCATCCGTGGGATGCAGGCAGCACATAGAACCACGCACCTTCCGGTCCGTGGGAAAACCTATCTCCACGGAACCGGTCTCTGGTGCCCCAAAGGTTGGGAACCTCTGGACTAGACGACCTCCAGTGTCCCTTCCATTCTGTTGTTTTGTGTCTGTGGTCACAGAAGGCCCTTCAAAGGGATAGTGAAGAACCTCAAGCCACAACCCCGAGCCAAGAAAACCGTATAGTAGTCTTTAGAAACTTGGCACCCTCCAGATTTGTCCAAACTCTGCAGGTTCATCCTCAACTTACAACTAGGCGTTTAGTGACCGTTCAAAGTTACAACCCCACTGAATAAAATGACTGAACGGTTCTCACGCTGGCAACCGTTGCAGCATTCCCACGGTCACGTGACTATAATTCAGGCTCTTGGCAATGGGCACGCATTTACAACAGTTGTAGCTTCCTGGGGTTGCCGGATCACCCTTTGTGGCCTCCACAGCTGGGCCCTGAAAACAAAGTCAGTGGGGGAAACCCGCATTTGTTTAAGAGCCACGTGATTCGTTTAGCGACGGCAGTGATTCGCTTAACAACCGTGACAAGAATCATCGCACCCATCGCGTGGTGAAATAGCAAGCAGGATACAGATCAGATCCGAAAGGTGTTTCCTTACCTCACTTCCTGGCCAATGAGTTCTGTTGGTACTGCGTGAGCCACAGGGAAGAAGAGAAGAAAACAGGATCAGATAGAAAGAAGATGAGGCAGTTTTGAAGAAACTCACCATTTCAGACATGACCTACTAACCAGGCTAAATAGTAATCACACTTAGGACCACTGCAGCATCCTCGTGGTCACGTGATCAAAATTCGGATGCTTGGCGACTGGTTCACATTTATAATGGTTGCCGTGTCCCGGGGTCATGTGATCCCCTTTCCTGACCTTCTGACAAGCAGGAAGCCAGATTCACTTAACAGCCGGGTTACTATCTTAACAACTGCATTGTTTCACTTAACAACGGTGGTAAGAAAGGTTGTAAAATGGGGCAAAGCTCACTTAACAAGTGTCTCACTTAGCGACATACATTTTGGGCTTCACTATGGTTGAGGACTACCTGGGCTATGAGTAACATTTTTGCAAATCTTATGATCTGAATACACTGCCCTCTTTTCTGTCCGTTTCCTCACCCAGTTTAATCACCAGTCCAATTAACATTTCTGGGAAATGCAGTCCCTGGCTTTATGATTTAAGTCTAGGCCAGGGGTAGGCAACCTTGGCTCTTTTATGACTCGTGGACTTCAACTCCCAGAATTCCTGAACCAGCATGGGGGAACTATGGCCCCCTCATGACTTGTGGACTTCAACTCCCAGAATTCCTGAGGCAGCATAGCTCAGCTTGGAAACCTCTCCCTTTTCCCTCAGCGTGGCTGGCTCAGGAATTCTGGGAGTTGAAGTCCACAAGTCTTAAAGAGCCAAGGTTGCCTACCCCTGGTCTAGGACCATTGTAATTGGCCCAACAAAAGGCGATGCCCTCTTGTGGCAACAGGGTCCATCTACTTATTTAGATGAATGACCCAATGTAGCTACCACCGATTTGGGGTTAATTTCCTGTAGCTTCTGGGACAGCAAACTGAAATATTGCCACGCACTCTTGGCTGATCTATTTAAATTAGAGAACTGATTCCAAAAGAGACAGGAGAGGCCATGATAATGGTGTTTTGAACCTGGGCCTATTTTATTTCATACATTGTCAGTAACTGCAATTCTGCAAAGATGAATAGCTATCATCTCTCAGAGTCTCTCTCTCTCTCTCTCTCTCTCTCTCTCTCTCTCTCTCTCTCTCTCTCTCTCTCTCTCTCTCTCTCTCTATCTATCTATCTATCTATCTATCTATCTATCTATCTATCTATCTACATCTCTCTGTCTCTATCTATCTACATCTCTCTCTCTCTATCTACATCTCTTTATATCTATATATCTATATCTTTATCTATGTCTCTCTCTCTCTCTCTCTCTCTGTCTCTATCTATCTATCTATCTATCTATCTATCTATCTATCTATCTATCTATCTATCTATCTATTTATCTATCTATCTATCTATGCCTCTCTATCAACTATTATTATCTATCTTCTATCTCCCTTCCTCCCTTCCGTCTTTCCTTCTTCCCATCTCCTTCCTTTTCTCATCCCTCCCTCCTTCCTTCTTCCTTCCTTCTTTTCTTCCTCCCATTTCCTTCCTTCTTCCTTTTCATCTCCTTCCTTCCTCCCCTCCTACCTTTTCCTTACTTCTTTCTTTTCATCTCCTTCCTTCCTTCCTTCCTTCCTTCCTTCCTTCCTGTCTGCCTACCTTTTCCTTACTTCTTTCTTTTCATCTCCTTCCTTCCTTCCTTCCTTCCTTCCTTCCTTCCTTCCTTCCTTCCTTCCTTCCTTCCTTCCTTCCTTCCTTCCTTCCTTCCTTCTTCCTTCCTTCCTTCCCTTTGCTTTCAAAGCCTGAAAACAAATAGACATCAAGTTCAGAGTTAACAAGTTTCCTCCATTCCTTGCGCCCATCAGCCTTGCTGGCTTCGATGCCTGCCATCCTGAGCACTTCCCCTCCCTGCCAGATGCAAAACTTCAAAGTCTCTCCCTGGGATAAAAGCAGCCTGCAGTTGTCTAGCAAATTAGGCCTGTATGGCTGGTTTTTAAAGGAGAAAAAGGAGCGAGGGAGGAATTAGGAGACCAACTGGAAAGAGGGTGTCTGGGTTGAATGGCCAAAGCAGTCTGTTCAGAATAATTGGGAAGGGGATGCGGCTGTGCACAAACTACACACAAAGACACACAAGGTCTTATCCTCAGGCAGGTCTTCATCCATTCAAGCCAGCCTGGATGAATCATCTGTACCCCTGATTCCACATGGAGAGTATAACAAAACACTTACCTCTAATTGCCTTGGACCGTGTTCGTGCTCGTTTATCGTCATTCTCTAAACTCATCTGGAATCCAATAACAACAGAAGTCAACATTTTGTTCAATAAAAAAAACATTTTACAGTCAAAGCTAAGGTGTTTCTAATTTCAACACTTCATGTAAAATTGGGATGGCCGAAAGAAAGTGGGAAAGGTCTAAGCCAGGGATGGGGAATTTGGCTCTTTTATGACTTGTGGACTTCAACTCCCAGGAATTCTGGAAGTTGAAGTCCACAAGTCATAAAAGAGCCAAGGTTCCCCATCCCTGGTCTAAGCAAAGGGTGTCCAACCTTGGCCACTTTAAGACCTGTGAACTTCAACTCCCAGAATTCCCCAACAAGCATGGCGGGCTAGAGATTTCTGGGAGTTGGTCCAAAGGTCTTAAAGTGGCCAAGATTGGACACTTTTGGTTTAACAGGAGTAGGCAACCTCGGCTCTTTTATGACTGGTGGACTTCAACTCCCAGAATTCCTGAGTCAGCATAGCTCAGCTTGGAAACCTCTCCCTTTCCCCTCAGCGTGGCTGGCTCAGGAATTCTGGGAGTTGAAGTCCACGAGTCATAAAAGAGTCAAGGTTGCCTACCCCTGATCTGGTTGAGGATCTTAAATGGGGCTTATTTTTGGGGTGGGGTTTATATTACGAGTGTCCTGAAAAAATCATGCTAGGGCTTATTTTCCGATTGGGTCTTATTTTCAGGGAAATACGGTATGTATTTTCACAGCCCTATTGGTTCAGCCTTCCATAACAGTCCCAATTTCTCATATGTCTAACAGGAGTAGGCAACCTTGGCTCTTTTATGACTCGTGGACTTCAACTCCCAGAATTCCTGAGCCAGCCACGCTGAGGGAAAAGGGAGAGGTTTCCAAGCTGAGCCATGCTGGCTCAGGAATTCTGGGAGTTGAAGTCCACGAGTCATAAAAGAGCCAAGGTTGCCCACCCCTGGACTAAGCAATAACTTTCTCAGAGATGAACTCCACATGTGGCTGATAACTTTGGAAATTTTGGAAAAAGTGCAAAGAAACTTTTGAAAAAGTACCAAGAAGAGTAACTAGGGTGATTAAGGGCCTGGAGACAAAAATGTATGGAGGCAGGAATTAGATATGACCAGTCTAGAAAAAAGAAGAAATAGGGGCAACATGTTAGCAATATTCCAGTATTTGAGGGGCTGCCACAAAGAAGAGGGGGTCAACTTATTTTCCAAAGCACCGGGAAAAAGTGACTTTTGACCATTTTTCACACTTACGACCATTGCAGCACCCCGAGGATCATGTTGTCAAAATTCAGATGCTTCGCAATTGACTCATATTTATGATGGTTGCAGTGTCCCCCAGGGTCACGTGATCCCCTTTTGTGACCTTCTGACAAGCAAAGTCGACGGGGAAGCCGGATTTACTTAACAACCGGGTTCCTAACTTAACTACTGCAGTGATTCACTTAACAACTGTGGCAAGAGACGTCGTAAAAAGAGGAAACAAATTCACTTTTAAAAAATGTCTCACTTAGCAACATAAATTTGGGACTCAATTCTAGTCGGAAGTCGAGGACTATCTGTGTCTAGAAGCTGACATTTCAGTTTGAAATGATGGGAGCCTTCACTTTGATTGTAACCAAAACTTCCTAGTTGAAATATATTCCTCACAGAATTGAAAGGAATTGAAAAACACTGGAGGTTTTTAAGAAGAGACTGGACAGCCATTTGTCCGAAATGGTATAAGGTTTCCTGCCTGAGCAGGGGGTTGGACTAGATGACCTCCAAGGTCTCTTCCAACTTTATTATTATTATTATTATTATTATTATTATTATTATTATTATTATTATTATTATTATTATTATTATTATTATTATTATTATTATTATTATTATTATTATTATTATGTGATGGTTTATTCCCCAAAGAAAGAACATCTTATATTAACTCTCCTTCCCTTCAACGTATGGATGTCAGCAATAGCTGGAATAAATGTATGCCCCAAATATGCAGATATTTGCAGAATGCTCATCACGCATTTGACTTATGCATGCCCCCCCTCACCCCCACCCCTGCTCCCTATGAGATCTAATTTCAACACTTCATGGTTAATTTTGATATTTCATTTCAAGATTTGATATCTGGGGCAAACTTGATAGAAGCCGCATCACCTTGTATTGTCTTTCACAATTTGATAGCTTATTAGAGTTCACCTTGTCATGCCCGCAAAAGGAAAATAATTTAAAAAAATCCAAGAAACCTAAGAAAATAATTCTTGCACATGCGTGGGACAAAGCGCCTGAAGGCAGGACAAGAAGCCACGGATGGAAACTAGGATGCTTCTCTCAAGGAGAGAAGCAACCTAGAACTAAGGAGAAACTTCCTGACAGTGAGAACAATTAACCAGTGGAACAACCTGCCTCCAGAAGCAGTGAATGCTCCAACACTGGAGGTCTTTAAGAAGAGACTGGACAGCCATTTGTCTGAAATGGTGTACGGTTTCCTGCCTGAGCAGAGGGTTGGACTAGATGACCTCCAAGGTCCCTTCCAACTTTATTATTATTATTATTATTATTATTATTATTATTATTATTATTATTATTATTATTATTATTATTATTATTATTATTATTATTATTACCACCGCCAGCATCACACAGGTGCCGGCAGCCCACTTGCGCATGCTTGCACATGATAGCGCCATCATGCACATGTCTGTCTGTGCATGTGTGCATGGGGCCGCATGTGTGCATGGGGCCGCATGTGTGCAGGTTTCCCTGCTGCTCCCTTTCCTTCTGGGCTGCCAAGCTGGAAAGGTTGGGAAACTCTGATGTAGGGGATTTGGGGCAATCAAAAAGCGAGTGTGATTGTTAAACTTTTCTAAAAAGTTGGCAAAATTTGGAAGGTTTAAGGATATAATTTTGAGCCTTGTGGGGCTATTTAGACAGTTCTAAAATCTGGTATTGCTGATTTATTTGAGATGCTCCTTATCTTCTTTAATGGAATGCCCACAGATATGTTCATCCCTGCAGGAATATTCACATATAATACAGAGGTAAACAAAGGAAGTGTTACATTTGATCTCCAGCAGCTCCATAGAAAACGTGTGGCTTAAACAGTAGAACATAGAATAATAGGACTGGGAAGGACTTTGGAGGTCTACTAGTCCAGCCCCCTGCTGAAGCAGGAGACTGTATACTGTATAGACAGCCATTTCAGACAAATGGCTGTCTAAACTCTTCTTAAAAACCTCCAGGGATGGAGCATCCACAACTTCTGGAGGCAGGTTGTTCCACTGATTAATCGTTCTCACTGTCAGGAAATTTCTCCTTAGTTCTAGGTTGCTTCTTTCCTTGATTAGTTTCCATCCGTTGCTTCTTGTCCTGCCTTCAGGTGCTTTGGAGAATAGCTTGACTCCCTCTTCTCTGTAACAGCCCTTCAAGTACTGGAAGACTGCTATCATATCATCCCTAGTCAGTGGTGGGATTTAGATATGTGAACAACCGGTTCTCTGTGTGGATGCCGCTTCCGGAAGTCCATTCTGGGCCTTGGCAACAAAAAAATCTGCCAAACTGGTGTGAACTGGCTGAATCCCACCACTGCCCCTAGTCCAGGGGTAGGCAACCTCGGCTCTTTTATGACTCGTGGACTTCAACTCCCAGAATTCCTGAGCCAGCATGGCTCAGCTTGGAAACCTCTCCCTTTCCCCTCAGCGTGGCTGGCTCAGGAATTCTGGGAGTTGAAGTCCACGAGTCATAAAAGAGCCAAGGTTGCCTATCCCTGCCCTAGTTCTTCTCTTTGCTAGACTAGACATACCTAGTTCCCTCAGTTGTTGATGGTAGGGTTTAGCACAACGCAGACTCTTTTGGCATCTTAAAACTAATTCATTATAGTTTAGGTTTTTATAAAACAACTTGTTAATCCCAAGTCTTTCTTTGCTACAAAAAGCAATCTTTGGTGTACTCTCCACAGTCTGAAGATAAGGAGCTAGATTGAATCTCATGCCCAAGGTAGGACTAGAACTCACTGTCTCCTAGTGATTGGGCCAGCATCACCCAGCCAGCTTTCCTGCTTAAGGCTGGACTAGAACTCACTGTCTCCTGGTGATTGGCCCAGCGTCACTCAGCCAGCTTTCCTGTCTATGGTGGGACTAGAACTCACTGTCTCCTGGTGATTGACCCATCATCACCCAGCCAGCTTTCCTGTCTATGGTGGGACTAGAACTCACTGTCTCCTGGTGATTGGCCCAGCGTCACTCAGCCAGCTTTCCTGTCTATGGTGGGACTAGAACTCACTGTCTCCTGGTGATTGGCCCAGCGTCACCCAGCCAGCTTTCCTGTCTATGGTGGGACTAGAACTCACTGTCTCCTAGTGATTGGGCCAGCATCACCCAGCCAGCTTTCCTGTCTATGGTGGGACTAGAACTCACTGTCTCCTGGTGATTGGCCCAGCGTCACCCAGCCAGCTTTCCTGTCTATGGTGGGACTAGAACTCACTGTCTCCTGGTGATTGGCCCAGCGTCACCCAGCCAAGCTTTCCTGCCTAAGGCAGGACTAGAACTCACCATTTCCTAGTGGTTTGTCCTCTGATTTTCCTGGAATTTATGCACCTTGCTGCATTCACCCAAGAGCATTCCCCACGTACAAAAAATGGACACAGTCACCTTGATTTTCTAAAGAGCTTAAATCACGCATGCATAGCTTTTAATGGAGAAGATGATTGACTTCAGTGTACATCTGCTCCCAGGACTATAAATCAAAGCTGAATCCTAATATTCTGGTGGTCTAGAAACACAATTCAGACGGGAATTGTGTGGATGAAAACTCAAGCTGATGCACAGTTAGATCCCCTCAATATTCAAAAGCTGGAGACCCTTCAGGATACTTCCGGGCACAATATGCTCAACCTTGGTTAGTAGACTCACACATTTTGTACATGTGTACAGTACACTGAATCATGGACAAACTAAAGCTAACCTCGTCTCCTTTGACAGTTATTGGGTTAGTAGATGAGGGGAATGCCTTAGACATAACAGAATAAC